TTTTCTGTTTTATATGCTTTTCAGTTTTTTTTTTTTGTTTAAATTCGTTGCTTCCTTTAATTGGCGTTGACTTTGTATCCTGTGTGGATGATATTTTTGTGCTATTATTTTTTTTTATAGTAGAAATCATAAAAAGTGAATGATAAAACAACAAGGGAGTTGCGTTTTACCAATTTTTAAAGTGCACTAACTACTTTATTATTCTGCTCCTTCTTTCTTTTTTATCTTGTTTTTTGTCTTTTTTTTTTTTTTTTGCTTTGTGTTATTTCTGTTAGTTGTGGGTAAACTTTAAATCGCTTTTCCTTTGTTTCTCTTTTTGTAAAATTATTATTTGCCTTTTTGGTTTTTTTTTTTTTGTTCTTGTGTGTTTTAACATTTTTAGTCTTTTCTTTAATATTTCTGAAAGAGTGGAAATCTTTCTTTTGTTGACTCTTGATGATGAGGATTAAAACTGACAATGTTGAAATGATTATTACAATATTTTGAATGCAATAATTATGTAGAGAAACTACACTAGTTTATAGATTATGTAGGGATTATTATAGTAGTACAGTAAATATTTTACTTTGTACTTAACAAAAAAGACAAAAAAAAATTATTTTTTAACGAAACGTTTTCAAAGTTAATTTGTTCATCTGTTCATTCGTCTGCGTTAAGTTGTGACCCACAAAGAAAGTCTGTAATTTTTTTTTCTTTTCAATTTTATTCATTTTTCACTAATCTTTTTCTGAAATAAATGTTTATGTGTTATCATTTCAATATTGAAATTTCTGTTTTCTGAAAAAAAATGTAGAAATTCTACTTAAGAGAGAGATTTTATGTGTGTATATCAACGAAAGCTATAGTACATCTAATATTTTCTTCGTATATACAAATAAATATAGAAAAAAAACGAGAAAAAAAAATAGGGTTGACCTTGTCAACTCCGTGATATTCGTACGAATTTGTTATCCTATGTGCGAATAAGTATGCTGTACCTGACTATGAAACAGATTATGACTTTAAGTTACCGTATTACAATATTAATTTTAGTACAATATTTTTCAAAATACTGTGTATGCCAAACTATTACTGAAGTTGTATGGCAGCTACCAGAAAGAGCCAAGCAATTTTAACGAATTTTATTAAACACATCGGCGCTACTAATATATTCGCTTGTGTGAAATTTCAATACCGTAGCTTCTATAATTTCTGAGATATAGGCAAATAAATTTTTAAGTTATATGGCAGCTACCCGAACCGGTGCCCCGAACATGTCCAATTTAAACAGGGTTCTGGCACTTACTACAATAAATCATTTGTGAAAATTTGGTGAACTTAGCTCTATTAGTTTTTGAGTTATCGCTAGGACGGACGGACAGACAAAACTAAATCAACTCAGAATTCGACGCTGATCAAAAACATATACTTGAGTCTATATCTAAGACCGTTATTTCTTAGCGTTACAAACGGTAAGGCAAATTTAGTATACCCTTCGAACATACGATCGTACGGGTATAAAAAATATAAATTATTTATTTAAGTGTTATGTGTGTATACGTGTGTTATATTTACTTTATATAATGTGCATATGTAATTAACATCATATAATTCTGAAGACATTTGTAACCTAATTTATAAAATTTAAAAAAAAAATTTTTGTTCAAAAATTTAATTAGGAAATTATTTTTTCATGGTTTTTGTATGTCCTCACTGTTCTTCCATATATACCATTACGTATATATAAAATTTTAATTTGGAATATTATTAAGAACAATTTTGATTCACTTTTGGTGATTCAAATTGAAGTTTCTGACACGATTTTCTAAAAAAATAAATATAATATAGGTACAATTTCGGTACACGGCTATAAATCAAATTTAATAAGTGAATTAAAGGAAGTTTGAATAACAAATGAAATTAATTCAGACACATAGGATATTTTATTATTGTCGATCCACTTACCTGAGCGCTAGGCCCTGACGAATCTCAGTATTAAGTTCGCTAAGGAAGTCGTGAGACTTTCGGAGCGATCAAAAACCTCTGCCCGAAGCACCTTGACCTTAAGTGGGCCGCAGCCTCACACAATTCACTTTTTACCTTGCCCATTATTTACAGGTGAACCATTGTTATACAATGTTCAGCGAGTATTTCAATAGATATTGTGGTAAAATATATTTATGTATAAGGTGTCAAAGAATAATTTTGAATTATTTTCATTAAAAAAGATCCGGTACTATTTTTGGCAAAAGAAGCAACAATTTTTTTTCCATTTTAATAAAATGTTCGTTTTAATTAATAGTTTTATTAGAATATTTCATTAAAAATTTTTTAAATTTTTTGCATATTTTCAGGCTTTTCCACCAAATTCCGTTCACTTTAAATTATCTAACATGAAAAAATTCTAATTCCTCACGATCTTTTTGCTAAAAGCATAGAATCAAACAATTAGGAAAAAAAAGTTTATATATATATATATATAGACAGGAGCCCACAAAAGTATCGATCTCTTAAATAATGTAAAACAAACCTATTCGCATAAATTAGTTTTTAATTTGCAAACTACAAAAATGTTGTAAATTATTTTTATATGTTTAACTGGTTACAACATTGATTTTGCCCCAAATATTCAATATCAAATACATAAATAATAAATTAAAATGAAATTAATATTTGAAGAAACAGGAACTATATTTGTAGTTTGAAATTCAATTGATGATAATTTTAATTAAAATACGATATTTTTAGTAAGATTCACGTTCAATTCATTCTTCATAATGTCATATAATATTGTATGTATAGCAGAATATATTAATTATGGCTCATCTTTTCATGTTGATCATTAGTTTTCTCTTAATTTTTATTAAGATTTTTTAATAATCTTATACATACATTCTATATATAGTTTTGAATTCCCATTATATATTTCTTTCCTAATTCTACAAATAATCACTTCAGAACAAAATGTCTGATCACAGAACAAAATGTATATACATATATACGTATCCTTTTTATCTTGTATATGTTTTCATTTTGAATAGAAAGATTAAAGCCTTATAGAATTAAAACCATTAGCCTATTTCTTAATTTTCGTATAATCCCAAAAGCGTCGACATTTTTTATATAATTGAATGCAATTAAAAATGTAAAATATTATGCTTAATATGCATTGTAATTGTATTTTACAGACGCACACACATTAACATGTATACATACATATATGTACAATGACATAAATTAAAATTATGGAATATTTCCCATTGAAATTCTAAATTTATTGAAATTAGAATTAAAATATAAATTTTATCTTTTAATTTTTTTAATATCCTTAGCGAGTTTATTAAAAAATATGCTTTTAAGATTACAATTAAAACGCACCATTAAAATTGAGTTTTTTGTTAATGATAAAGTGATTTTTATATAACATTAAAATTTTTTAACTCATTTCATCGTATATGTTTTTATGTATATAAGTGTGTTAAAAGGATATTTTATAATATTGTGTATAAAAATCACATTTTAGTCACTAATTGTCTTCTTGCTTTTTCATATAGTTTCTACCATATTTTTTTTTTGTTTTATTAAAAAAAATATGAAGAATAAAAAACACAAACGTGGTATGAAAAAGGATTTTTATCCTAGTTTTAAAAATTTTTACTTACTAGGACGAATTTGTTTTGTTTTTGTTTTTTGTTCTGTTGTTATGCAATTTTATTCTTATAATAAAAAATATGTGGGTTGAGATTAAATGGATTTTAAATGCATCTTTTGTTTTAGGAAAAGTAAATAGAAACCAAAGAAAAAAATATTGTTGAAAGTAAAAAAAAAAAAAAAACAAAAAAACAAAAGTCATGTTTTATTCATTTTTTATTTTTTTTTTTGTTTTACCACATTTAAAAAAAGCGTGTTGATTATTTATTTTTTTGCTTGTATAAATGTGCAAAATATGAAATTTATTATGCATAAAATGGTTTTTTTTTATTGTTTTCTTAAATAATATGTTTTAGAGGTTGTCGTTCTTAATGTAAAACGTAAAACCTCAACTAAATGAATTGTTCAAAAATTTTATCTTTCATATATGAAATATTTTGATTGTACGTAACGATTGTATTGGTACGCTCATATTAAATTCAAAGTACATATATAGGGAATATTGAGTGTGTCTCGCCACTTTATAATGGCTTCTGGGCCAAAAAATATTTATGATGTTCCATTTAAGGGCAATTTTCCAGTCCATTATGGTGTAAATGTATGCACTCTATTCGTATATGTACTCCTAATTACGCTAACTTATACAAAATAGTTATGAAATAATTAGTTACATAGATTGCAGCTATTGGAATATAATTTACGTCTAAGATTCAGTTTTAAAATTTTGAAAGTTAGTTTTTATTGTTATATAGTTAGTAAATAGGATTTTAACACAAAAGTGTTCAATATACAAACACACAGCGTAGGAAAAATCCTGTTCTGTAAAAGGAATGCACTATTAAATTACGCGATGCAGAAGAACAACTGTATTTTTTATAAGTATCACCTGTAGATTAAGAGCAACAAAATTACGACTTCTTAAGAATTTTCATTCTTTTTTTCTGTTTTATCAGAAATTTATTTCCCAAATGTTGCCTATAAATGTTAGGGATCTTGATCGGTTTTTGAGTCATTTGGGCTGATTCAAAAGAAAGATATAGTATAGCAAAACAGATTAAAGTGGCGCGATTGGTACCTTTCGGGTCAACCTAACCTAATCTAATAGATCTAATTACTTTCACTTATTGTAAAAATATGTAAGATAGTCTTGATTCTGTTTTAGTAATTTTAAAACTTTCAATGTCTATTAATTAAGTTTAAAATTTATTCAATAAAAAAAATTAATTTTCATTTTAAATATTGATCAATATTGTGCCTTATAAGGCATAAATATTGTTTAATATCTGAAAATAATTTAGATTTAAATAGAACACAAATCAACTTTAATTCCCTTATAAATCAATAATAATTTTTTTTGTTCTATTTTACAGAATTCTTTTAAAGATCAAAACCTTAGACGATGTGAAATATCTGGAGAAGAAGATGACGATGATCTTAACGATGATATTCCAACCGTTATTGATGTTGAAAAATGTGAAGATGATAAACCAATATCACTTAGTAAAAATAATGTTAATATTAATGAACAAAATAAAATGTCAACAACCCCACCACAAATTACAACTGCTACAACAGCATCTTCATCTGTTGAAGCCCATAGGGATAGGCCACTTAAATTTTCAATTGCAAAAATTATGGAACCAGATATTAGAAATGATAATGAATCAAATTCTGATGATAATAATTCTTCCTATAATAATGATTGTGATGATTCAGATTATCGAATAACTGATTCAGCATTTAAAAAATATATTCCTTCATCATATAGTAATCATTTGAATAATACAACAAGACATCAATATTTATTATCAAATTATCCACTTCTATATTATCCTGGACAATTAGTATGTGCAGCAGCGGAATTTACAACATCTATAACATCATTACAACATAATACAAATAATAGTAGCAGTAATAATAATTGTAATACTTCAAATGATAGTATAAATAATTCAACATTAACATCATTATCACCATCATCACAAGCAGCAGCAGCTGCTGCTGTATCAGCAATTGAGCATCAATCAAATTTTATTAAATCAATACATTTGGCCCCATTTAATCCGTCTTTAAATCAAAATCATAGAGATAAACGAATTTTAAATATTTACTTAAATAAGTCAGCATTTAATTATTCGGCGGCTGCTGCTGTAGCGGCAGCTGCTAATTCAACTTCTTCAACAGCATCAATATTAAAAAGAAAATCAACGGCATCTTCATTAGCTGGTAATGTCGGTAATAATGTAACACCATCAACAACATCTTTATCGGTGATAGAAAATAAATGTGATTCTAGTCTAGGCGATTTAAAAACATCGTCATCATCTTGTAGTAACAATAATAATAATAACAATAATAATAATAATAATAAACAGAAAAGTTTTTCATGTCTTCAATGTGGTAAGGTATTTAATGCCCATTATAATTTAACACGACATATGCCAGTTCATACTGGTGCTAGACCATTTGTATGTAAAATATGTGGTAAAGGTTTTCGGCAAGCTTCAACATTATGTCGACATAAAATTATTCATACAACAGAAAAACCTCATAAGTGCTACACTTGTGGAAAGGTAAGAGTTTTATTTTTTACCTTATTTGTATTAGGACTTAGTCATAGTGTATTCTTTATATGTTTTATTAATAGTATTTAGTATAATATTGCGTTGGACGTGGTTTGACTATTGCAAGTTCAGTCTATAAACTATTGATTTGACCATAGTTTAAGACAAAATGATAATTGGAGCAAAATATACATAGTACAAATCTCGTGAATTAGAAATATATTTTTACTTTTATAAGAGGATGCAAAACCGTTATATAGTATTTGTCTGACAACTAAGTATATGAAATAAACAACAAATCATTTGGCACTGAGCAGCTCTAATTTTGAATATTGTTTGAACTTCCAATGTCCTTATGCTCAAATATTCAAAAAGAGCAATATTTTTGTGCTCTCATAATAGACGTGCGGTATTTTGACGTAAGCGTATTGAATTTAAGAATCTTAACATGCGGTATTGCTATTTCAACATTTAATTTATGTATTTATATATATACAATATAAACGAATGTTCATATATTTTTTTTGACATTTGAAAAAGGTTTATTTATTCAAAAATAAACTGCATCTTTTAACTTAAACACTTTTTCTATTTTTTTTTCTTTATATAAATATCTACAAAAAGCTTCACATAGAAAAAATTTGAATTATTTAAATTTGCATGTGTACATATGTACATATTATATGAGTATACGTATTATGTAAGATGCACTTATGTATGTTCAATTTTATTTTAATTGCCTATACCATGTCTAGAATTAATTAGTCGAAAAATGTTCATATTTTTCGCTATTGTCTATTATACTCGTACTTGTGCCTGTTAGACCTAATGAATTTGAATAATTTACTGTGACACATCCTAGAAGTATCAATCGGAAATCGCATGTTTTGCATATGATAATATGGGTCTATTATAAAAAGGAACATATATATTTTAATAATTTTATATTTTGTGTAGGCTAAAAAATATGTGACAATATAATTTTATTAAAAGTGAAGAGTTAATAAAGAAAATATTATAATAATATAGGAACAAGTCTTATATTGTCATTATTTTTTTTAATTTAACAAATTTCCTTAAGTATACCTATAAAAAAATAATTCTTAGAATATTACATTGGCCATTTATTATGCCACTTATTTATTAATAAAAAAAATTTTTTTTTTTTTTAATAAACGAGAATATTTTCATTAAGGGTGTGTTGTTTCCTTAAGAGTTGTCAACGCAGTAAAAAGTTTTCAACTTTATATTCATATATTAGGAATGCATCTATATATGTATGTATGGAGATGTAATTTAAAAATTGGTATCAATGGCTACCATCATTAGTAACCAATTGAAAATAAGTCAAGCGAAAAGAATTTCTTGTTTTTTTTTTTGTTATTCCAATCATAAATATTTTATAATGCATATGGGTCGTCCTCATTCAGATTTTAGATAAACGCAAACAAAAATGAGGAACAAAATGTGAATATTAAATTATTGAAAAAAATTTTCATTTTAAATGGATTTAATTTAAATAACATTGAATGATGATATCATTTCCTGGTTGTCTACGAAATTTTTGCCATATATGCATATACATCTTGTATACGTACCGGTTGTCCCATATTAATGAAAAGCTGAAAGGGTTATTATATGGAATCTTCTGGGATAAAAAAAAAATTAGGACAAGCTAATATTTTTGATCTAACCAGTTAATGGTTCAATTCGTTTCTCAATTACATGTTGGTATTTTTAGTCACATAAGTGAAATATTAACGAATTCATATTTAAGATGATGCAGATGTATAATACCATTATATTAATATTTTATAAATGAAAATTTGAATATGTTAACGAAATTAAAATATAAATGGGGTTTGTTGACGGAATACTCTATGAATATCTATGATATTATTATATTATTTATTTGAGTATACAAATGAGAAATAGATCTATGAGAAAAGACTTAAAAATTTTATGAACACTGCAGACATATGAATTACATATTTAAATTGATATTCATTACTTCTGTGGTACATATATAAATTATGGGAAATAATATGCATACGTATAAAGTATTTTGAATATTAGAAATTTTTTATGAAAATGGCAATTTATTGCTTTTTATACTTTTCTTATAAAAGCACAAACTTTAACTTAAATTTATAATAAGTCTTATGTAAAATAAAATTAATTTATTAATTTTATTATAATTATAAAAATTTAATTTTCTACTCAATATCTTGAATTAATTAATTCGTGGACTGGTTTTGATTGCTTTAAATTTGTTTGAAACCACAAATAGCATTTATATTTTATGTCTGACGGGCAAATAGTGGAAATTATTCTATGCTCACCAGATTTAATGTCAGATTTTTTTTAAAGTAAAATGATGATAAATAATTTTTAATTATAATAAATTTGAATTTCGCACAATTTATTATCATACCTATTTCTATTTGAATTTTCGACTGCGTAGATACTAAGTAAGAAATTTAAATCGAAATTTCGACTCCTGAGAATTAAATGAGCTTAAATTTTATATTTTACTACTACATTTTAGAAATTTAAAAATAATTTTATTTTTGTTTTAACAAAAAAACAAATTAGTCTTACGTTCGTTTAATTCAAAATTAATATTCTATTATTTTCAGGCATTTAATAGATCTTCAACATTGAATACACATTCTCGAATACATGCTGGTTATAAGCCATTCGTTTGTGAATATTGTGGTAAGTAAAAGTAAAAATAATAATATTATAAAATAAATTTAAAGTTATCGAAACTCTCATTTCTTTTGACATTCGCTCAGCATCATAATTAAAAATAAATTAAGTTTATAGAGAGAGCTCATCAAAAAGATGAGCGTTTTCAGCATCTTTGCATCTACAAGTTAGATGATTATATTATATTAATTTTTTAAAAGAATGTTTTCAAGACCATGGTGAGCAAGTGCTGAAAAAAAGTTGTCGAACAAAAATTGTGGAATTTCGGATACTTTTTCAACTATATGCTCCACGACCGCGTGTTTTGTGAATTTTTTTTTAAAGTCCCTACTGGGATCTTGTGCGGCAGGTAACTTACTATCTACCCTATCCTATACTTGAGCCAATCTTATTAATTTTCAATACCTTCCTACGTCCAGTAATATTTTACGTCTGTACCAGTTTTTTAGGTCATTAACTCTTTGCAATCTGAAATGAACACTTTAACAGGAGTCAGATAAACAGATGGATAGAAGTACGGGCATAGCTAAATCGATTTTGAACAAGCATTATATATAATTGATATATGGGGTCACAGATGTTTCCTTCTTATAGTGTTACATTCGCTATGACAAAGTAAAAATACCCCAAATGTGTAATAATATTTAGGCGGTCACAAAATAATTTGACATTGACAACATCATATTTATATTATGAAAACACAAAAAATGTCAAATATTTAAATATTTAGTGTGCAATAACCTATGTACGATTATTATTACTTCAAATTAATTTTACCCTAATTTATTTAAATTATACAAGTCCGTTAACATCTAAAATAATTTATAACATTCGACTTAACACTGATTTTCTCGATTTTATTCTAAAATATAATATAAGAATATAAAAATGTCATTATAGTTTTGTTTATTATAATACAACATGCATGTCTGCACTCATTACAATTTTTATCACCCCTAACACCGAGTATATTATCGTTTAATATACCATTTAAAGTAGTGCCAATTTTTATATTTTACACACTATGTTAGGCATTTTTGTGTAAAGAAAAAGTTGCGTTAGTAATTTTAAGAATTAATTGTCCTTTTTTGTTAATTTTTTTTTTGATTTTCAGAATATTGCATTCACAGCAAGTAGTTGGTTATGTACATATACATGAATTCCGCTAACAAAATGACATTTGCCGCTATACTAACGTGTAACTGTATGAAAAATATTTATATAGTAAGCACATACATATATATATAGTAAATGTTAAAGAATTTGAGTACCAATTTTTAATTTTACATACATAAGGTTATGTGTATACTCTTATAAGCACTTCAATATTCAGTAATATTTGTGATTATAGAATTAAAACCCAAAATAAAGGGGAAAGAGTCTTTTTTTGTTTAAAAAAATTTATTAAAAGCGGAATTTATAAGCGATTTTTTAAACGATATCCGTTTGAGTATACGCGACACGAACATACATATATGTATACGAGTATGCATACTATATTTTTGTAAATAGTTTTCTTGTTCATAAAAATTTTTCTCTTTTGTTCTTTTGACTTCGTTTTGCTTTTTTGTGCCAGTTAGAAAAATTTGTTTCATAAACATTCAATTATGGCGATTTAATTTTTTACAATATTTTAAGAATAAATTTTCAAGGGGGATTCTGGCACAAAAAGAAAAAAATATAGAAAATACAATGGTATAGAGCAAATGTATTTTTTCTTTTCAAGTTTTTTTATTATTTTGAGATGAGAAGAGCATTCAAAAATATTTTCAAAACATCGCTTGTATTCCAAATATAGTTTTTATATAAGTATGTGTACATATACCTAATATTATTTTTTAAATATTTAATTTTGAAATAAAATAAAAAAAGGACAATTCTGTAGGAGTTGAAAAAGGGTTCTTATAACTTGCATTTATAAAACAAAAAAATATTTTGCCCGTTATTTTTATAAATCACATTTTAAATCAGAAAAAAAAATATAAGAATTTCTTGCCTTCAAATTGCCCGCTTAAATATTTGAATGACAGATTTTTTTTTTTTTGTGAATAATTTTTCATATATGACGAAAGAGTGGTGTTTGTTTTAATAAGCATAACGCAAAGACTTTCAAATGTAATTTTTTTGTTTTTTTTAAAAATTCCGTATTTTAATGAAAGTCATAAGATTTAGTAGAGACGACGAAGAAATGGAATTGATCATTTGACTCAGTGACACCCGTAAGAAGTTGTTGTCCTATTGGCGAATTTTTAATACCCTTCGAACATATATTCGTGTTGAAATATTAGTTGCCGTATTATCATATTAATTTATGCAAAATTTTAATGCAAACAACAATTATGCAAGTTGAATGACATAGCTACCGAATGGAGTCAAGAAATTTCACCGATTTTTATCTCACAGACGTTAATAGCCCCAATAATATATTTGTTTGTTCGAAATTTCGATGTTATAGCTTCATTAAGGTCAGCTCAAAATTTGACACTGATGAAAAAATACACTTATTCTATTTTTTTTATTGTTATGAAAAGAAAACTTCCTTTTATTAATACATTTATGTCTATACCTCAAACTAACGATACGAAAGACATGATAAGGCTTTGAATGTCATTCAAAATATATTTGAAGTAATTTTCAGTAGGAAGTTTTCCGAATATTTGTATATCAAATTAAAATTTTGACAATTTAAACTTATGTATATAGATTTTATAAATTAAATTTGATTTTTTATACTCGTATCGTGAACGAATTTTGACTGTTACACAATGCGTTTGCATATATTGTTTCTGTGATTACAAGTGCAAACGGTTTGTATTTTGTTTGCTCCTAGAAAGTAGTTCGAATTTTTTATGACTTTAATTTATCTTGTTGGGATATTTTATTAGTTCAAAATTTTATTGACATACCTCATTTATTTATTCGTAAGTGAATAATTAATATATAAAAATTTTATTTAAAAATTAAATTTAAACTATGAATAATCTCAGAATTTTTGTGACTTTGTAAATTTTTTTTAATCAAAACCACAGATTCATAATCAAGTGGACTTACGTCTAAATAATTATCGATTTAAAAATAAATTTCGAAATTTTTATTACATAATAGCACATACTTGTATGCTGTCCTAAATACTTAACAATTTTTTAAAATAAATTATTTAATCTAATTTGTAACAAATAATATAGTAAGTGTGTGGGTTATAAATATTAATCAAATACCAATTTTTTTAATTAATAAATATTTTATTTATTAAAATTATGGGCTTGCACATATTTGTATATTATAAAATAATTGATTTGATCTCGAAATTTCCAAAAATAATTATTGAAAAATAGTTTTATTCATAAATTTTTTGAAAGTAATTAATAGAAGGTATTGAATTATTAATTTTTTTTTACTTTATTGTATAAGTTCTTCACGATAATATTATTAAAAATGTATATAATACGTTATCATATGTACGCACACATACAACATTCAACCTACAATATTTCGAGAATTTTCTTGAAAAATCTAACAAATTTCTTTTCACATTTCGATTTACTCTTTATATTGCAACCTCATCATTTCTTATCATCCTTTTTAATTTCACATAGTCTTACATAATTTTTGTTATTCTATCTCTGTTCAACTTTGAAAAACTAAATAATTTTTTTTTTTTGTAAATACTTTTATTAAATACGAAAATCTTTTTAATTAAAATTTGTTTTAAGAACAATTTCAATAAAATTTTCAAAACAAATTTTCTTATTAGTTCTAATTCTTCTGTCCGTGCGTCTGTTAGCAAAATTTACCAAAAGTTCTAAATATGAAACTACTTAACAAATATTTTATATTCAAGCCACAAATAGAAAATAATCAAGGGCTTCTTCAACCGTGATACAGCAGCAATACAGCATAGACACAAAAAACAATGGCAAAATATAGTCGTTGAAATTTACCGTTATGTTAATCCTGTTCTGGTTACGAATTTTTACTATTGATTTTCTCTTAAACGACAGATTTTACAAGTCTAATATTGACTTCGATACGGCAAGTTATCCTAAATTCCTATAAAAACAAAAATAGTAACATGAAAAATCTTTCTGCTTAAAAGTCCAGTTATTTATGAAAACTAATCAAATGAGCCACCAAATTTAAAAATTATATTAATGCATTTGTGAATTTTTATTTTCTCCCTAAAAATATGCAATATATATTTATTCCACAATTCTAATTTTGTACAAAATTTCTTTTTTCTTTTTAAAAACGTATTTCAATTTAAAATTCATAGGAAATGTGCTACTTTACAAACCATTTGTTTGATCTTTATTTATTTTCTCTATATTCTCATTTTGTATATTTTGAACATTATTATGTACGTACATATATATTTATTATTATTAAATATTATAGGTAAAGGTTTTCATCAAAAAGGAAACTATAAAAATCATCAATTAACACATAGTGGAGAGAAAGCATATAAGTGTGAAATATGTGAGAAAAGTAAGTCATTAAAAAGATTCTTCACGTTTTATTAATAAAGAATTTATTTTTTTTTTCTGTTTTTCTTTTCTTTTTTTGTTTTTTTTTTATCTTTTATTTTGTTTTTTATTTATTTTTCAAATATATGTATATAATATAATATTATAATATATAGGTTTTCATCAAGTATATAATTTAACTTTTCATATGTACACTCATAACGATACAAAACCATTTACGTGTAAAATTTGTAAAAAAGGTAAGTAGGTGTTGTTTTTGTTATAATTTATTTATAATATTTATTTATAAAAAGAAGTAAATTATAATTATTTTTTAATTAATAAATATAAATTGTGTTGTTTTAATAAATAAAAAAATATATTTAAAATTGGAACATGATAACAACTTTTAATAGAAATAGAATCTCGTTATGAATAAGGGAACAACCATATTTAAGCCTATGAAATCGAGGTAGTAGAATTTTAATAAAATTATTTCTTTTCTAAGAAATAAACTTTATTAGTAGATAAACATTGGATCAATGAATTGTGAATTATGCTTACTTAAAGAATACATTTAGCCTTTCTTGTACTTCTTTAAAGCTTTAGAATTTGAATGAGATGTTTGGAATATCGAATTTAGATTAATAATAAGTGTATAGGAATTTGTCATAATTTTTTTCACACTCAAAGAGCTGACCATTTTTACTTGTTTATACGATAACGAGTTCTAAATTAAAAATGTCTGTAAAAATACTTGGGCTATAGTAAAAACCAAAATAGAAATTTTTAGTCAAAGGCCTGATTTGAATTGAAATCGAAGGCGGAGTGAACATTTATGAGAAAAATTCGGTGCATCATATGATATGAAATGCTTAAATTTTATTAAATCGACAGATCCGAAATTTTTTTGAAAAAAACAATTATACCAAGCTTACAAACATACGAAATGCTATATGACAACGAATATACCTAATATTGAATTTTAAGTAGTTGATATAAGAGATGCTGCTTCAACTTGTTATATTAGTTTCTGCATGTAAGACATTTTTCTTTCGGATTGCAAAGGGTTTCAATGAATACCATACGAAGCTTTTGTTGAGTAGTATTATTGTCGGCTTCATAAAATAATCAATTGTTTTGATTAGAAATTCGTTTGTTAGCCAAATGCAGACGCATCTAATTAAAAATTTTTTTGGAGTGGAATTCGATCAGAAATTTCGTTTTTGTATAAACCTATATATACCATTAGCACATGCAAATTTGTGCATTTAGATAGTTAAATTTGTTATAAATATTATTGAACGTTAACGTTATATAACGGTAGGGGACGAGGTAAAAACGATAGGCGCTTTTTGCACTATATTTAAAGCTGTTTGTATCATTTTCATTTTGACTATAGTTTAATTTTCTTTATATACATGCGTTGTGTTTAATCTTTTCCAAACTTTTAAAATTTGAATTGAAAATGGAAATACTTTTATAGTTTCCTATGATTTATTAATTAATTAAATTTTCAATAAATGTGCCTGTATATATATATATATAAAAATATATTTTACCTGATTGTTTTTAATGTGGTTTTGATGTTAATAATTCAATTTTACTTAATCAAAATAACCATTTAACTTTATTGAAATTCAATATTATCATTCCATTTTAACATTTATTGAAAATTTAATTAATTAATCAATCATAGCAAACTATAACAATATTATTAAACCACATACATAAATGTTTTTTGTAATCAATATTTTCAAAGTAGTAATTTCAAATATTAGATGCAATTGAATTTAAAAATAATTAATTTTGATTATGAGGTTTATTTGATCTTATTTTAACACAATTATTTATTTTATTAAAATATTATTAAAATTAAAATTTAGTGATATCAGATCATTTTTTTTTTTAAATACTATATTGTCATATGTATCTGCGAGATATCAGAAAAATTGACAAAAGTGAATATAGAATTCTTTAAAACAATAGAGGGCATTCTCTACCTCTTGAAAAAATGATAATTACAATGGCTTTTTATGATTCTTAACGAGATGCTTTTTGAATTACAATATTTAACTTTATACATATTCCATAGTAAATTAGTTTTTAAAATTTTATTACGTTCCACTTAACAACTACCAAAATGCTTTTTTAAACAGAAATACTTTTGTAAAATATATCAAAGCTAATAAAGCAAAATCCGCCTATGAGCTAAGCCGAATTTGTAACCTTTCGTATTCTAAATGTATTAATTCAGGTGTAATATAGATTTGCTTTGATTTTTACTTTCCTAAATATATTCTTTCGGTACAGGACTTAAAACATGATTTAATTTTGCTTAAATGATAATTTTTTTGTTCAAATTTTTGATGCAAATTGAATTTGTTAAAAAATGAGATCGGAAAATTTAATTTCAAACCATTTAATTCTCGTAATTTTATATTTTTTGATAAAACGTACATTCTTCTGACTTCATAGTCCTTCCTGATATGACTACATTCTTTTTCCAAATTTTCATGTCAAAACTTATTTACCAAAACCTTGTTTGTAATATATAAATTGTTAATAGTTAAACGAAGTTCAGAAATATAATTGAATATTCTGTACTGAATTCGTGTCTTCCAAGGAATATCTTGATATATTTTGAAAGAAATATAGTTTGAAATTTCATATTATTAAGTCGTAATTGAATCAAAGCGGTGCGGAAAGGGGGGGGGGGAGGCGAGGAGGAGGCGGGAGAAAAGCTACTTTAAAAGCCCAATATGAAATCAATGAAATCAAAATTACAACTAAAAGCAATTTTGGAATTTTTTTTGTTTTTTAAAATTCTGGTTTAGAGTTTGCTCTATTGAATCTGTTAATACCTAATTTAGCAATAATCATTTTGTTATAATTTTTTTGGATCGATTTCGACAGTTCATTGTAACTTTACATTTTTTCTAATATTTTTTAATATACTGTTTAACTCATTTTAATAATTTTATATGTAAGATTGTATCTGTATACATGTATGTAAATTTGTAATTTTCGAATTTCTTATTTTCTCTTGCATATTTTCTTACTGTATTATAAATTCTCTTAAGCTTAATTTTACTGTTTTTTGAATTAACATTAGCAATGTCTTAAATTCTAAAAAATTTCCATTCGCAAAAACGCATTCGAATCGATCAAACATAAAAATTGTTGGTATTATTCAAAATCAAAAATATAATTAATTGTTGAATTATAATTAATTTTTTTTTATTTATTTATACAAGTAATTTTCCAAAAAAAATTACTATAAGTTTTAGAATCACCCTGGCTAAATTAAGCCAGAGTCAAAACAGAATCATTTTGAACTTCTCTTTTAACTTAGTTCTCCCATTTTCTTTCCGAATCGAGCACTCCCATGGAATTAAACTTAAAAATATTGCACCTCTCATAACTATTTATGCAAACTTTCATTATAATGAAAATTTTACAAAAAAATTGGAATTTACTGTTATCCTCATATAAAGGAAAACATTTTCAAAAAATAAAACACAAAAAAAATTTTTCATTTTATATTTACAATCCTTAAAATAAAATTATTTACAAGAGAGTTAAAAATATAAAAAGAAACATAAAATTAAAATAACTTTTATAGTTTTGTATTTAATTTTTATTAAAGTACATTATATGTGTAAATATACATAAATATTTTGATTATAAAAAAAAAAAAAAAGAAGGAAAATTTTACTCCTTTTTTTCGCTTTCATATACGAATTGTAACATCAAAAGTACTTAAAACGCTTTGTATAAAATACCGTAAGCGTTTCAAAAGTTTTCCCTTTATAAAAAGAAAAATAAAGTTTTTGCAAAAGCCAAAAACGTAAAAGTTTCAAAATGTAAAAGCATATATGTTTGTTATACACACATAATTACATACATATGTACATTTATTTACATAAATAAAGTATGAAAAATATGGAAAAAGAAAAAGACTGAAAAAAATTTTATAAAAAAATTTAACAAAGTGAAAATTTTGTAGAGCGAACCGACGCAATTACGTCAATCCTTTTTTTTTTTTTGTAAATTTATATTTTAATTTTTTTCTTTTCATTTTTGTTTTTTTATATTTCGTTCTCGGTTTTCTTTTTGACACAAGCGCATTTATTTAACCACAAAGTGTATATGCAGGTATATAAACAGCATATATAACAAGTATGACGAAGTTCAAATACATTTACATAACATACTGACATCTTTGAATAAATAAATTTTGTACTCGTATACATATATTTTCTTAAACCTCTTTGAGAAATGATTTTTTGTCACCTCATTTATAATATTAAATATTAGGAGTTTTTTTTTTAATATTAATTGCCATAAAACAATTTCTACGTTCTTTTAGCAAAATTTAGTACACGAATTTAATATATTAGAATTCTAGTATAATAATATATACTCGTATGTTGAAAATGTAAAATTTAAATAGAAATATAATGGAGGCTCATAAAACTCAATATTGAATATTGAAATTGAAATATTTTTTTAAAATTACTATATATTTCAAGTTGTCTTTGACAGCCCAATGTTAACAAATTGTTTTGTGGAATCTACATAATTATTTTATAATTAAACTTCAATACTTACTCCGAAATATTCAAATCTTTTAGACCCTTATACTCGTATATTAAGTGTAATAAGGTAATAATTCGTCCAGCAATTACTTTGAAATTTAATCTAGGTTTAGGTTGTAATTCTAAAATTTGACGTGAATTCTTAAATATTAAAATTTATTTTGTTGTTTACCCAAAAATTTCAGTGAAATGGCATTGTTAGATAATTGAATTTTTTGTATAATTTAAAAATAATATATAAAAATGTGTATATCTATGCGTACATGTATATGTAAATACTATAGTAACCTCATTCTTGTTTAACATCTTATAAATATTAAATCAATTAATTAATTCCCTATTACTTATATATTTAGTTTTAAAATAACATGAAATTTTATTAATTTATAAAATTTTTTATAACAAATATATATAGGTTTCTGCCGGAATTTCGATTTAAAAAAACATATTCGAAAACTACATGAAGGTGGGGATAACTCTTTAAATTCAACAAATAATACGAATTCAACGAAAAATTTAAAAAAAAATAATAATAATAATAATTCTAATGAAATTATAGAAAAATCATCAGCATTTTTAAAAAATAATACATCATCATCACCATTATCATCATCATCGTCATCATCGATATCATCAGTATCATCAATTAATTTGACAACATCATCTTCAACTGGTGTTAATAGTATTGGTAATAATAAAAATAAAAAAAATATTAATTCTAATAAATATAATAATAATAATAATGATGAAAATTTTCTAACAAAAATATCAGCAACAACTTTACAACAACAACAACAACAAGAACAGCAACAACAACAAGTAGTAACGATACCAGATAAAAATGGTTGGCATCATGCGCATATTCCAGATTCTTCTACTTCTTCTTCATCAAATACAAATACAATAATACCAGTTGTAACAACAAATTCTTTATCAACATTATCACAAATAACACCACCACTATCATCATTATCACAAATACAAACAACAGCAGCAGCGGCGGCAGCAGCATTACAACCAATCAGAAATGGTTTTAATGGTAATACAATAACATCATCATCAACATCATCATCAGCATTTCATCATCATTTAACACAAAATCTTCATCATCACCATCATCATCATCATCATCATAATAGTCATCATCATCATAATCATCATCATCATCATCAATCTATACAAAACACGCCCATAATAGCAAGAATTTTTTGACAAAAATTTTTTTATAAAGAATCAGCCGCTGCTGCTGCGGCCGCAGCCGCCGCTGCCGCAGCTGCAGCTGTAGTTTATAATAGTCATAATAATATTATTAGTCACAATAATAATAACAATAATAATAGCAACAGTATAAGTAACAATAGTAATTGTAGTAGTGAAAATGATTGTAATTTAAAATTTCATGTTTCTGACTAATTTAAGTGAAAAAGGACTTTTATATGATTTTGGTTGATAAAATTTGAAAAAAAAAAAAATACAAAAACAAAAAAAAAATCACAACAAAAAAAATTAAAGAGAAACAATATATTATAAATAAAAAAAATAAAACAAAATTATGTTCAAAAATATTTAAAAAAAAAAAATATTTATGAAAACAAATTGAAAAATAGTAAATTAAAATTGAATATTAAAAAAAATAAATTGTATATTATAAAAAAAAGAAATAATATTTATATGCGAATTGTAATCACAAATTTTAAATGAAAAAATATTAATCATGCAAAGTAAAAACAAACAAACAAAATGTAATAATGATGGAATTTATTGATAAACTTATAATGGAAATTTAAAGAAAATTACATACTTACATAGGTATGTATTATATATGTATATATAAAATTAATAAATATATACATATATATACATACAAAATAATGTTTGAAATTAAATTGAAAATAAATAATTTATTTATCTGTAGCTGTGGAAACTGTACATATATACATATTATATATTAAAAAAAAAAACAAAAAAAAAACCAAAAAAAAAAAGAAAGAAATTAAAAGAAAAAATGAAAAGAAAAATTATTTAAAATTGAAAAATAATAGTAAAATTTTGTTTTATTTGTTTTTAAGGTTATGTGAGACCCCGTCCGTGAATTATTGAAATTCAAAAATTTTTTCATATTTTTTTTTTCATTTTATATTCATTATATCTACATATTTGTTATTACAATACACGAATAATATTGTGGGTATCAATGTACAAACCCCATACATCATAGAAAAATTAGTTTCCCTTTAATCAAGGAAACACGAATAACAATTTTCAATGAAAATATCTGATATACGCTTCTAAAAGAATAATTTAAAATATTTACCTTATTCGTGTTCTTATAATTGCGCCTAAATGTTATGCAAAAATTAATAATAAAACAAAATAAAATCATAAGTCATATAAAATCTCAATTTCTTTCGATTTAATTGATTCTGATTTGAAATATTTTAGTAAAATTAAAATATAATATATTGAAATTTATTTTATGATTGTCTGTAATATATATACATACATATATACTTGAATAATATGTTATATATAATTATGTTTGCATTTACAACGTTTAAAGTTTGGTTACTTCAAGTAACTTGATGATTTATTTATGAACAGAGGAAGTAGGAATCATTTCGTGTTTCTCAATTGAGTTGCTTATATTATTGTATATTTAAAATTATTAAAATTGTATTGTTAGTATGGAATATAAAATATAAGAGAAGAGATCAATATATAGAATTATTTTCAAGAACATGTTCATTTATAGTATATTTTGAAATTAATTAATTTATATAAATTAATTTTCTGTTATACAACATTACAAAGACTATCGACAGCGTAATTATTTCTAATCTTTAATTAAATTGCAAAGAAAATTTTCTTGAAAAAATCATAAAATTATATTTGAAATTTTCAAATAAAAAGTTTGAAATCCAATTCGTTGCCATTTTATGATATTTGATGTCTTATGCTATAATTATTTTATAAACGAACTGAAAATTTTTCATCTACACTTTTAAATTCAAGTCCATTAACATAAATATGTAGCGTAGTTAAACTTGAAACATTTAACAAATTCCATTTTTAAATCATCAAAATAGTTCGTTTTTTTAGTGCTTTCATTTCTAAATCTTCAAACTTTTGACAATAATCTCCCTCTTTGTTCTTTTATTTATGTATGTGTTACGCATTTAATTACTTTAAATTTGCTAATTATTAAAAAAATATATTAATTTTGAATTTATAATAAATATATATTAAATAGTGCGTTTTCAGCTAAGGTACAATATTAGAACAGAACAAATTTGATTCCCAATTTTTAACAAATTAGATTCCACCGTTAACGTATATGGGCAGCAGTTCTTCATAAACGAGATATATTGAATTTAATACAAAATGTTAATCATGTTTAAGTAACCATATTATATTTGTATATACTTGAAAATATATCGAACTAAAATGCTTCAGAATATATGAAATTTTATATACAAAAAGAGACTTGAATTCATATACTTAATCGTGTTAAGCATGCTATATTATACTCTTAAATTTTTATATAAGATTAAAAAAAATTAAAAGATTTAGCACGTTCTAATCTCTATTAATGATAATTTAATAAATATCATTTCAATATCTTTTACCACAATTTAATAATAAAATCTCCTTATTGTGATTTTTGTTATTGTTTTTAATAATGTGTTTAAAAAATAATAACAAAAGAGAGAATAAAAAATATAAAAATTGAACCCACATAGAGTTCAAAAAAGGATCACTTTAAGGATTAAATTACAAAGACTAGCAAAAAATATATATATATATATATATACGTTAACGTATTCCCATTATCCTTTATCTTATTTTAATCAAATATTGTTTTTATTGTGTAATATTCAAAGAGGGTGGTCCATTGTTATTATAAAATCATAAATTTAATTGTTTTATGGTGTGTAGTACATACTTTAATAATTTTCAAGTGGTAATCAATATTTTTTTTTTTTCTTTATCACTTCTATTGCTATTATTTGCAGTTCTTTATATTTATAATTGCATCTTTATAACAGCGTGTACTGTATGAAGTATTTTGTAAATGGAATATAAAGGTTAATAAGGCTAATTTGGTTAATATATGTGTAATAAGCAGATAATTTCAATATATGTATGTATTAGTTATTCAATTTTATATACAATTCATATTTGAGTATGTGACATAATTGTTACTAAACTATTTCTGTTAATCTTTTTTCTGTAAATAAAAACTGATTAGTTTCAAATTTTTATAGAATGTTACCTATGTTTGTGTAGAATAATGCATGATTAAGTTCTGGCAATTTAGAGTATGTTCTTCAAAATTACTCACTTTTTTGAATTTTCCAAAAAAAAATATATCAATTAATTTATTCATAATTCATTGTTATGGAGAATATTTATAAAAGTAAATTTCGTTAAAGCTTTTACAAAAAGAAATTTGATAGTATGTCAATTTAAATGTCAAAATATCATAACTGGAAGAGTTGCCAGATTTTTTATACAGATGATTTTAGTTTTAATAAAAAATTTAATTTTTTAATAAAAGAAATGCATACAGATTTTTTATACTGACTTAGTTTAAAAAAATTAAATTATTGTAAGCTTACTATAGTATAAAATGTTTTAGTAATTTTAATTCTCTGCGCCATATTATTTTTAAAGGAGTCTTTTTAAATTCTTATACATTTTGCACTCGATTAATAATTTATTCTCTTCTTATTCCTTTAAATTGATAATTCTCATATATTTTCAAAACTGTAGATGATATTTTGAGAAAGCTTTTTTATGGATTCTAAGTGTTGTATCCACAAAATAATATTCGTAATTGTCAAATATATGTTCTAAGAGCTTAAGTGAAAGAAATGTGTGGAAATAAAATACTAAGAATGAAAATTAAAAGCTTACCATTATGATGTGTAAATAAAAGTGGTTGTTAAGGGTTAAAATAACAAAATTTGAATATTTTCGTATATATAGATATGCACACATATATGTATGTAAAATACGAAGTTGTGAAAACAGAAATAGATTGATATAAAAAATATGTTTGTGCCGCACCATTATAGAAAATTAACAGTAACTGAATTGAGATTTAAGAATGTGAATATATTAATAAAATTAATTTATATATATATATAAATTTTATACAATAAATTATTATTGCAGTACAAACTCTGCATTTTTGAGTTAATAATATTTAAGAGTTTAAACTTGTTTCTTTCAAATTCAAGATCTATGCCGAAATTTAGTTTGCCTGGAAGATTTTATTTAATTTATTGAAGAATCTTAAAAATACTCGAATATCTTTAAATTAAATTTTACATTAATATAGCAATAGTATATTTGTATTAAAATATTCTGAAAATATGAAATTTTTTAATTAAAAATGTTTTAATAAAATTTTATAAAAATCTTTAAAATTTGCATATTTTTAGGAGCGCAATTTTATTTTATTATTAATGTATCTATATTTTTATTAGATATTTCACAAAAATGCTATTTGCTTCAGAACTATTGTAAATAAAATATAAATTTCCTGTTTTTAAAAAATATTTTATTGTAAATGTATTTTGTAGAGCTGTTCATTGCGTCGTGTTCGTATGAATAAGAAAATTATGGGTAATAACTACTCCAAACTGGGAAAATTATATGTTGACGTAAAAACGTCTTCATGCAGGATTTTCATGATATTTTTAAATTCAAGAGACTGCACAAAAGAAGGATATTTACTAAAAAAAATTCCTTCAAATTTCAAAAAAGAAGTTTTAATAGAATTAGGTAAACGTAATTCAAATAAAAATTTTATTAAAATTTTTCTATCTATATGAACGTGTTAAAATATTTTACATATCTGATATCAAAAATATAATCTTGATCACTTTGAGCACTTCATATATTAGACCAACACTTTAGGGTATTTTCAACAATAATCCACATAAAGAATTTATAGTAGGAAAAATTCGTGTCAAAAAAACATTCATTTTCTATACTTTAGTTTACTTTTTCAGTCTTAAAACTTTAAAAAAAAAAAAATCAAATTATTTTACATTAATGGAAGGAAAGTAAATAAAAAAGGACACATAGCTAAAGTTAAAACTAATCTGAAAATAAAAAAGATTTTTATAAAATAACAAAATAAGAAAAACATACTAAAAATTTAAGGACTATTTTTATTTTGCACTCGAAATTGAAATTCTTTTAATTTTTATCATTTTTTTTTTACTTTTACGCTTCAGTAAATTTTAGAAAATTACAAATTTTTTTTTTTACATTGGTTTATTGGTCATTAATGTCTATTTAAAACGTTTTATAAGAAGGGTCAATTAATACAAAAAAATTTGAATATTTTTTGCGTGGCACGGTTCTTCAGTTCAGACAATACCTAGCATGAAATTTCGGCAGGAATTCAATTATTTCAAAATTTCAATCTAGTCTTACTTAAGACCTTGGAATTAAAACTTCTTAATTTCGAAAGTTCTGGATGATAGTTAATTTGTGTAGCTTAAATATCAGCTTAGTTACCAAATTCTTTTAAACGATTTCAATTTCATGAACCCTTCTATGTAATCCTTATTAATAACAGTGTCTCAATCAATTATAATGCTATGTAGGAAAAATATTAATGAATAAAAAAAACCTCATATAGCGTGAATTTTTAATGTTTAACTTTAACACATTTCAAGCACAAAGAAATATTCGCATGGTATTACAAATTTACCACTTCGTTTATTTGTCCTAACGATGACTCAAAAGCATATTGAGTAATATAATTTTTACAATTAGAATTATAAAATAGA